AAAACGCGTTTAAAGTTTTTGTTTTATACTTACATAGCCGTGTACGCGCTCAAATAGCATTGAAAAAAATATATTTTGAGTGCTGGGATCTTTCTAAAAATTTTACACCACATTTTTGACATATTTTACTTTCGAAATCCATAATAAAAAATTTTTTGCTTTTTTGAAGATGACAAAGTGGTATGAACCCTTAATGATAGATCGTCCAACGTCCTTCCGGCAGGACGAAAAAGTCTCAGGTGAGTCCCTCCGAAATCACTAAAGAAAACTAACATCGATCCAGATAAATAAAAAATGATATATATCATTGGAAAGGTAACGAAACAAGCTTTCAGCGCATATAAATATCGAGCTTGTAAGTTCAAAACTAAGGGCTGGGTAGTTTGAAGAAGTTACATGTTCCAAAAATTCACATAATTTTTAGTCACAGAATGACGAAGCCCGGTCCTGCCGGCAGGACGCTTTTCGCTTTATTTAAGAGACTGCCTAGCCCAGATTTATAAATTTAAAGACTCGATATTTACATCATTTGAAAGCTTGTTTCATTACCTTTCCAACGATATATTTAGTTTTATATTTATCTGCTTCCATATTAATTTTATAGAGCAATTTCTAAGAGACTCGCGCCTGAGTCTATACTAAAATATACTGAAAAATATTAAAAATGAATTTTTTTTAATTAAAAAATTATGTTTCATTCTTTGAACGTTTCTGAAGAGAAAGAGACTTGTCCGGTCAAAAAATATTGATTTTTGGGGATTTTACATTAAATTTACGAAAAAATGTTTTTTTCACTGTTTAAAAACATAGCAAATTTGAAGGCTTTGAAAAATGGTTTAAATTATTATTTTAAAAAGTCAAAAATATGGATTTTTTCGTCTTTTCGTCTACTTTAATCCCAAGGAGTGCCAGAAAAGAATAGTTGAATTCCCTTTTTTTAAAAGCCTTTTTTTCGGAACATCCTTCCGGTAGAACGGGCGTTTGGACGATTTATCATTAATTACTTTTCGAGAAATTAAAAAATTACGAAAAGCATGCAAAATCCAGAATTTTTTCTGTATCTGACAGAATAGTCAACGAAAATTCTTTGATCAGGTGTCCGTCTTTTCATAATTTCATTAGCTTTCAGTAAAAACATACGAAAAATTTTTGTCATTCTTATTTTCTACGTTTTAAGCATTTTTCCACTCATGAAAAAGGGGCGTCCTGATACTCACGGACGGTAGTGTATGTTGCCCATTGAAGAATTTTTTCCAATATTGTTAGAAGTTTTAAATTAAAAATAACTTGTAGTTCGCAATGCCACCAAAGCTTAACTTGCTGCAATAAATAAATGGTAATGTTTTTCCTTTGCTATTGATTTCAATTAATTACAATAAATTATTGTAATTTTAAGAAAAATATTTTTGTCTATAATTTGAATTTTTCTATTAGCCCGGAGCTCTTTGGGCGTTTAGCTTAACGCCTAGGCATCAAGTTAAATGACTAAAGAATTCAGACGATTAAAAGAATAATTGACATTTACTTGAACATTTTTCTATTTGCACGCGTTATGCTTAACTAGGAATTAAGCTAAACGACGGCTTTTTCTATTCGCCTTTGACATATCTAAAGAGAAAAACGTAGTTCGGGCCTAAAGTTTAGTCCTGAAATTTTTTTACACGCCTAGTAAGGTGGTGAAATCTGAGAAATTGATTTGCATGAGAATTTACTAGCTTTTTGCTTCCTTATGAGACTTCCTTATAGACTCATTTTCATTTAGAACATATGTATATTCAATTCTGAGCAAATGTCCAGATGTATGTGCGTGTGTATATTAGGGTGGTCCAAAAAAAGTAAAATCGAAATTTTAATGCTCTCACCCCCTAGGATTGTTCTATATGGAGAAAAAAAATACTTCTATTTTTTTTGAAAATAAAAAATTATTTAGAGGTCGCTCAAAGCGCTCAAAGTTTCCCATGTAAAATGCATGGGGAAAAACACTTTTTCGTAGAATTGGTATAGAATCCTTGAAAATCAATATTTTTCATTCAGCAAACTCTGTTTTTCTTCAGAAGACTTCAAAGAATAGTGCTAAATTGTTTATTTAATCATTTATTTATATCAACTATTTTTTATAGTGCCCCAAAAAACCCCATAAATTTCAAAATTATAAAAAAATCGTTAAAAAATATTTTTTACTATTTTTATTAAAGTTTTACCAATTGTTTATACTAATTACTATTGTTTAACTTTCACTTTTTATCAAAATGAGCTACAGAGTTACAACTTTTTCCTAATTGTACATTTTATTTTTCTTGTGAGGTAATATTTAATGTAAGACTTAATTATCGAGTAAAAATTGTTAACAATTTATTATTATAAAAATGTTAAGTACAAAAATTTTTATTTACATCATTGAAATTACTACTGCGATAGCTTCAAATTTAAAATAACAATTTGTTTAAGCAACTGGTAAAATTATAATTCTTAGATTGTTGTTAGTCACTAGTTAAATTTGACTTGGAAAAATGCAAAATTGAGAAAAAAAATGCGACTCTGCAGCTCAATTTGATAAATAGTGGAAGTTAAACAATAGTAATTTGTTTGAACAATTGGTAAAATTAATATTCTTAGTTAGTTGATAGTGACTGGTTACATTCGGCCTGAAAAGTTGCAAAATTGAGAAAAAATCGGAACTCTTTAGCTCAATTAGATAAAAAGTTGTAAATAAACAATAATAATAATTTGTTAAAACAAATTAGCAATTACATGGAATAATGTTTAGAAATCAATATTTGTGTTATTTATTCATAATCTAGGAAAAAACTTTGATAAAAATAGTAAAAAATATTTTTTAACGATTTTTTTATAATTTTGAAATTTATGGGTTTTTTTTGGGGCACTATAAAAAATAGTTGATTTAAAAAAATGATTAAATAAACAATTTAGCACTATTCTTTGAAGTCTTCTGAAGAGAAACAGAGATTGCTGAATGAAAAATATTGATTTTCAAGGATTCTATACCAATTCTACGAAAAAGTGTTTTTTTCCCATGCATTTTCCATGGTAAACTTTGAACGCTTTGAGTGACCTCTAAATATTTTTTTATTTTCAAAAAAATAGGGGTATTTTTTTCTTCATATAGAACAATCCTAGGGGGTGAGAGCATTAAAATTCTGATTTTATTTTTTTCCCATGTATTTTTGGACCACCCTAGTGTGTGTATGTCACAAAAACTTGTATACAAATTATCTCAGACCAATTTTAATGGATTGTCCTGAAAGTTTGCAGGTTTATTGCAGTCATTAATACTTAAAATCTGACACAATGATTTTCAAAAATATCTACAAAATTTTTTTATACAATTTTTTTAAAATTCATAAAAAATTTTTTTTGTATTTTTTTAAATAATTTTTTTATTTATTAATATTTCCATTAATTATTTTCAAAATTACATTCCTGACATAAAAACGAATCGATTGATGTATACAAAGTGTATATTTTATCAAAATTTATAAAATTAATAAATATTTTTCTTTTTCACAAAAAATTCAAATTTTGTATTTTTTTCATAATTTACTTAATATTAATATTTTGAAATGATTATTCTATCATAAAAATCAAAGCAATTGGCATATGAAAGTGTACATTTCACCAAATATTTATATAACAACTTATAAATGATTTATATAATTATATTTTTAACAAATCTTCAGGACGAACAAGAAAAAATTAAATTAATTTTAAAAAATTAATTAAACCAAGTAATTAAAAAATTTTTACCAGAAAAATTACTAAAACCTATAAATCACTTATTTATGATAATGTTTAAATACAATCAGAATAAAGTTTTAAATATAAAAAACATTGTTATAAAAGTAAATGTTACCGATTCTATGGGATAAATTTAATTTTTTACATATGTTGAGATGGAGTTTGTTAAAATTTTGTATGTGAATTAGGTCACGATTTTCTATTTATATATTGAGGAAGCTGAAATGAACAACTTGTTATGTCTAAAATAGATTTTTCGTATATTTTTACCACTCATTTGAATTCAGTAGCACTAATTACATAGAAATTATATAAATAAAAGAAGTTAAAAATGGCGCATCCAAAATGGCGAACCTAAAATGATGGATTTTTTAAAAAATTGTTCGGATTACCTTAAAAATCGTTACTCGGGGGTTTTTGGGGTCGCTGATTACGAATTTAATGTCGGTTTTTAAAAATTAAAAATGGCGAATCCAATATGTTGCAACAAAAATGAGTCCTCTGCATCGTAAAATGCAAAATCAGTTACTTTTCTGACTCATTTTGAGTTCAGTCTTTTTCTGTGCATTGCAGAACTAGGAAAAATTTAGATTTACAGTTAGCAGTTTGAGGAAAAACCTAAGTAATAAGAATAAAAAAAGTATGCATTATATTCGTTTCTAGCAATCCCGAATACCCAAGATTAATAATTTTCAAGTAAATCTGATAAATTTTTCTGACGCCACATTGGATTCGCCATTTTTCATTTTTAAAAACCGATTTAAATTCGTAGTCAGCGACCCCGTAAACCCCCAAACAACGATTTTTAAAGAAATTTAAACAATTTTTAAAAAAATCCTTTATTTTAGGTTTTACTAGAGTAGAACGGGGTGAGACAGCCAATTGCTTATTATTTTTGCATAATTTTTTCAAATCGTGCGCTATTAATAATGTAGACTGTTTATGGTGGTATACTTTAGTTGCTAACAAATAGGCATTATTGCTGCAGCAGTTTAGTCGTTCAATTGGACTGAAACTCGGTACTCGGGATTTTTTGAGCTAACTGATCAATGTTATAGGAGGCTGAGTATCTTTTGCCGTATATATAATAAAGTAATTGACTACGGCAAGATCTACAAAGTGTAAAAACAATCGTAACCATAATCTTTTTGATTTTTGATCGATTTTGTATGCTGCTAATAATCGATTAGCATAATGGGCATAGCCCATGTGTTTGTTATAATTTAAAGAAGCAAATGGACTAATCACAGCTTGCAAAGAACCTTCCTTCTGTCCACGATTGACAACTGTAGTTTCAGAGGGGTCATGGTAGTTAGATGAAAAGTGAACAGCCTTTTTGTCCATTCACTTGATCCATTGCAATCCTGTAGATGTCGTTTGATATTCGTAGTCACCTTTTTCACTGTGCTATCTTTCGTTTTGCTTTTAGGCAGCTTAGAGCGATTAGACCTCACTGTGCCACATGAAAAAATCTGATACTCTTTTGGTAATAGCAAAACATCAACTCCAGTGAAGAAGTAAAAATACCCGTCATGATTTCCACCAGCCAGCTCGCGTGTAAGATCCTTCACTACTCCTGCGAGTAACTGCTTTTCCGCTGTTACTGCTTTCCCTGTGTATTCCTGGAATTCACACACGCATCCAGATTCGTCTGCTCTTGTCCAACATTTATAGCCTCGTTTTATCGGTTTAGCAGTGCAATACTGCTTCAAGCTATTGGGAAATTTAAATTTGATCATCGTTTCATCAATAGCTTGGTATTCTCCTGGTTGCCAACATTCTATAAATGTTTGTCCAAGTTTATCAAGAACAGGCCTTAATTTATACAATTTGTCGTAACCGTGGTCTCTTTTTTTAGGTTCTTTAGCATTATCATTTCTATGCAAGTGGCTCAGAAGAAAACCAAACCGATTAACAGTCATGACAAATGAAATGTATGCATCATGTAATTGAGGATTTGTTGACAATAATCCTGATATGATGGCACCTTCTTTACACCCAAGAGAATATTTATTCCCAAAAATATAAGAATCTCATCTTTCGTGACTTCTTCTTGTTTACTTTTCTTTTGCCTTGCATATAAATTCGTTTGCTCTACAATTGTATTTATTGGGCTGTCTAGAAAGGGGAAAAATTCCAAAGGCGTTTTAACATTTGTGAGAATGTTTGGTCCAAAATCTTTCGTAAAAAGAACATTTCACCTTGGCAAACCATTTTCACCCCAAATACCATATCGATACCTCAGTGTGATACAATCCTATCTTCTGGTAATACTTTAAACTGTCCCATCTCGAGGTGATGTTTTGTACCGTGCTATCTCTAATTTGACAGATTGTGGTATGAATAAAAAAAATAAATTACGGTACTTAAAATATTGATTACATTCAAAACAATAATTTTTTTATATTTTAATAGATACTTTTTATCATAATATATAAAAATTGAGTGTGAATTAATAAAATTTAACCACTTAAATGCATTTAGAAAACAGCTAATACATTAACCCTACTTTTTGACAGCACGATACAAAGTATCACTTGAAGATAGGACTGTACAAAATATTACCAGAAGATAGGACTGTATTACACTGAAGTATCGCATTGTCTAAAATTCCCTATCTTTTTTCCTCTACATCTTTATCGCTGTTAGTTTCGGGTAACGCTAAGAACGAGTAAAAACATCCTCCACTTCGAATTTTTTCAAAATTACCTCAGAATCGTAATCTGCGACCCAAAAAACCGCCGAGTACCGAGTTTCAATCCAATTGAACGGCTTTCTATTTCTTATATCCGCCATGTTGGATCCGCAATTTTGAATTTTTTCAAAATGATGTCAAATTCGTAATCAGCGACCCCAAAAACCCCTGAGTACCGAGTTTCAATCCAATTGAACGACTTTTTATTTTTTATGTCCGCCATTTTGAATTTTTTCTAAATGACCTCTCAGAATCACAATCTACGACCTCAAAAACCCCCGAGTACCGAGTTTCGTCTAATTTAAATGAATAGAAAATGTGTGCATCTAAGGGTTGAGGAGAACGTGTAATATTTCCAAATATTAGGTCCTAGGTTTTGAAGGTACACACCTCAGGATAATTTAACACTAAATACTTTGATGAGTTTAGAAAGTATTTCTTTCAGACAAATATTAATTCTCAAAATGGGCTTGTGGGGCAAACCGGACAGTTTTCAATGGGGCAAATCGACTGGGTCACATGATTATTCCTCGAATGTCATTTTTAAGAATTGATATTTTTGCGAAATGTCACTTTTCCGAATCGATATTTTTACGAATTGTCACTTCTGCGAAAAGTCATTTTTGCGAAAATTGCTATAGTGAATCTATATAGGGTCAATTGGGGTAAATGTAAACGGAATATCTATTTTTCACCAAAAACATTAGTTTTTTTTGTTAAAAGGTAAAACGGACTGATTTTTTTTGCATGAACTTGTTACTAGAGTTCCCTAGAAAAATTTTATGAGGTTAAAAAAAATATTGATGCACCTGAATCGCCTAAAACTGACTGTTTACATTTACTCCGAGATTTTGAAATTTTCCTAAAATTCGGGGTAAATGTAAACACCATTGTAGTTAAGCGAGGTTTAAGAAACAAGTTATTTCAAGTATACTACTGCTTTAAGGGATGGAAAAACTGATAAAAATTCTTCGTAGATGTATAGTAAATCAACCAGTTGACTGATAATGTATCATATAAAATAAACAACTAACCATTACAAAACTAGTAATGTAAAAACTTGAATAACTTGAACAAATTTTAATAGATTTCCATTCAACTTGGTAAAAAGAAGTTTTAAGGTTGCTGAATAAGAATCTAAAATCGAATTTTTAAATTTCAAAATGGTGGATCCAATATGGCGGATGAACCTAAAAATAATATTTTTAAAAATTGATCAAAGCTTGAATCTGGCTACTAGGGGGTTTTTGAGGTCGCTGAATACGAATTTGAAGTCAAATTTTAAATTTTCAAAATGGCGGATGAACCTAAAAATATTTTTAAAAATTGATCAAATTTTCAAAAAAAAATTTTTTTCTTTTGATAAAATTTTTTTTTCAAAGAGGACCTAATTTCCTCTTCTATGTAATTTTACATTACCAAATTAATGAAATTGTGAAATAGAAGCAAATTTATTCAATTATTTTCTTTTAAAATGTAGTTCAAGTTCTGTTTACATTTACCCCGAGTTTTCGAATTCTCGGGGTAAATGTAAACACTTAATTATTTATTAACTAAATTGACGAAAATCAAAAATCAAAGTCAATTTTTGTTAGGGCATTAATAAGGAAAAATTACATATTTTTGTTTCATTTTTAAATTTATTTTTATGCAAATGAGAGACTAAATACTGAAACAGTAAAATTTTGATTTTCAATCTTTTTTACATTAAAAAATAACTTACACTATGGCATTGCCAATTGTCAAAATAAAATATTGGCAATGCTCAGAACATCTTGTAGGTGAGCTGAGGTAAAAATATTGATGACGTACTTATTTTTTAATTTGTAAATTTAGCTCAAACATCTACTGTTTACATTTACCCCTTGTTTACATTTACCCCAAATGACCCTATGCATACAAGTTTACTATAGTAATTTTTGAAAAAATGACTTTTCGCAAAATTGACAATTCGTAAAAATGTCGATTCGCAAAAGTAACAATTCGCAAAAATGACAAATCGTAAAAATGACTTTTCCCAAAAATGACTAATCGTAAAAATGACATTTCACAAAAATGGCTTTTCGCAAAAATGATATTTCACAAAAATGACTTTTTGTAAAAATGTCGATTCGCAAAACTGACAATTCGCAAAAATGACTTTTCGCAAAAGTGACAATTCGCAAAAATGACATTTCGCAAAAATGACTACATATTTGTAAAAATGACATTTAACAAAAATGGCGTTTCCCAAAAATAACTAAAAGAAATGCTTTCTAAATTTATCAAAGTATTTAGTGACAAATTATCCTGAGGTATGTACCTTCAAAACCTAGGACCTAATATTTGGAAATATTACACGCTTTCCTCAACCCTTAGATGCACACATTTTTCTATTCATTTAAATTTGACGAAACTCGGTACTCGGGGGTTTTTGAGGTTGCTGATTAAGAATCTGAGGTCAATTTGTACAAATTGAAAATGGCAGATCCAATATGGCGAACATAAAAAATAAAAGGTTGTTCCATTGGACTGAAACTCAGTAATCGGAGGTGTTTTTGGGTAGCAGATTATGATTCTGAGAGGTCATTTTGAAAAATTCAAAATGGAAGACATAAAAAATAAAAAGTTGTTCAATTGGATTGAAACTCGGTACTCAGGGGTTTTTGGGATCGCTAATTACGAATTTGACATCATTTTGAAAAAATTCAAAATGACGGATCTATTATGGCGAACATATAAAATAAAAAGTCGTTTAATTGCATTAAAACTCGGTATTTGGTGGTTTTTGGGGCAGATGATTTCGTATCTGAGGTAATTTAAAAAAAATCAAAATGGCGGAACTAACAGCGATGAAGATGTAAAGGAAAAAAAAGAAAGGGAAGTTTTAGACAATGGTATTATGGGGGAAATGGTTTGCCAAGGCGAAATGTTCCTTTCACGAAAGATTTTGGACCAAACATTCTCACAAATGTTAAAACGCCTTTGGAATTTTTTCCCTTTTCTAGACAGCCCAATAAATACAATTGTAGAGCAAACGAATTTATATGCAAGGCAAAAGAAAAGTAAACAAGAAGAAGTCACGAAAGATGAGATTCTTGTATTTATGGGAATAAATATTCTCTTGGGTGTAAAGAAGGTGCCATCATATCGGGATTATTGTCAACAAATCCTCAATTACATGATGCATACATTTCATATCTCATGACTGTTAATCGGTTTGGTTTTCTTCTGAGTCACTTGCATAGAAATGATAATGCTAAAGAACCTAAAAAAGGAGACCACGGTTATGACAAATTGTATAAATTAAGGCCTGTTCTTGATAATCTTAGACAAACATTTAAATAATGTTGGAAACCAGGAGAATATCAAGCTTTTATAAAACGATGATCAAATTTAAATGGTTCAATCACGGTGATCTTCAAACACTTTTAGGTTTACCTAAAATGAGTCAAAATTGTGCTAAGGCAGTTTTATCTGGAATCGTCCTAAGATTCCAAATTTTCATTTCCGAAAATCGTAGCTGATTTTTTTTCGAAAAAAACATATATATGTATTTGGGCAATTCCACGTGAGATTTTAGTCGACCTCTTAATATCATACAAAAATATATTTTTTCTATTCTGTATCGAAAAAAAACAGATGCGTATATATTTTATTATTTTTGTTTAATTGTCCACATTTTAGAGTTATGAATTTTCGAAATTTTGGACTTGTAATTGTAGACCTATATTCAGTAGCTTATAAGTCCGAAAATATTGAGTTTAGGAAAAAGTTGTCAAAGAATGAAAGTTTTAGTTTTCTTTCGACTTTTAAGAAATGTAAACACAAAATTTTTTCTATAAACAAATTTATTTGATTTAACTTTGGGCCAAATTTTTTAAAATTTTACTTCCTTATAAAGGAAGTATTGTAATACCAAAATTTTTTGACTTCGATTTTTTGACATATCTTTATGTTATTTGACCCCAGGAGTTCAAAAATGACATTTTAAAAAAAATGTCATACTGAATACGTGTGTGTGTGTGTAAACATCACATTTTCATAAATATCTCGAAATCATGAAGAGCTTTTAAGTTGAATTTTTTTTAAATTGTAGATTTCACCTGCGGACATAAAATGATAGTACTTTAGATAGATTAATAAAGTTTAACTAAATTCTTTTTGGATTTTTAATGTTGTAAAAAACGTTTTTTGCTCATAACTTTAAAAAAAAGTTAGGACACCTATAAATGTTTTTTCATAATT